TTTCAGGCTTCTTCTTTCCAGTTGCTTAAATTGGAAAATTTACTGCGATGATCATACTTCACTTTCGTAAAGCGATTTAAGTATACAATAACAGTATCTATATTGATCGAATCATGTGAAGGTTTACTAAATCAAGCCAGAGCAAATGTTCTGTAAAACCAAAACCGAAGAACAAAATCTTGCATTTCTGTGACAGCTCAGTTTGTTGGCAAAGTTAACTGACGGATCTACAAAAACGTGGACAGTAAAATCATGCATTCTTTTTGCAGTGTCCGTTTGATACAGGTTTCTAACAATAGAAATGACCATAAAAGTCAAGTTCAAGGTGTCCGCGTCCGCTTAATAGAAGTGTCTGTTGAATACAGGTATTTTTTACAGTGAATGTGGGAAAAGAAAAATGGGACTTGCACTGTGTCCGCTCATTAGAGGGTGTTCGCTTAATATGGGTCCGCTTAATACAGGTTTGACTTGCCCCCGGTGTGTAATCGAGAAAAAAACCATGTGCATGTGTAGAGCGTTACGTTTATCACGCGTTTACTCACTTGTTTTGGGGAGAATCTTCACAGTGATGGCGATATTCATAGTATAAGAACCAACGTTGTGCTTTACTTACAATAAAGCCGCTCTTGTAAATGTTATTTTTTCCTATACATACTCTGTCCAGACTACAGAAGTTACAACAGCTGCTCGACTGAATAGGCCATAGTCGTATTCTCGGTATAGCACTGGAACTAGCTTCCAATGGAGGATCGTGCGGTGGAATATAATTCACAAGAGACTTATGTCATTTGTTTTTGAAAAGACTCCCCGCATTAGCCTAGAACTATTGCTCAAATGCTTTCTCGCCCAGGTGGCCCTACCTACAGTTGAATCAGTCAGTGATAATTTTATACCGTCATTTGGAGCTTGGTTTAGATAAAATCTTTTGTAGAAAAAATATATATATATGAATAAACTGTTGGTGAGCGCGCTTAGTAGACAGTTGAAATACGTAAGAGGCTTGTGGCATTACATAACTAGTCACGTCACTGCTTATAGGGCCGTACAACAAAGTAGAAAACCATGCACAATATTTAGTCAAATATGGCGAACGCTGTTTACACTCAACGAGCTGATTAATGTTTTCAAGGAAGAAATGAACAATTCGACAAAGAAACCATGATAATCATTAGCGCAGCTAACCAACTTTTATGCCAAGAAGTTCAAAGGTGCACCATACAAACACCTCTATTCACAATAGCTAATACGTACATGAAAAATATGAATACGCTTGCCTCTGCAGATAGCATTCACAAGTTATTCGATGTAGTGCAAGCTAAACAAGTTAAATAAACTAGCCAACAAGAAATAAAAGTATAACAAATTGTGCAGGCTTAAATATAACAATACATTACATTATCGTACCCATATGCGGAATTAGCCAATCAGAAGCATTCTCTACTGTCCCGATATATAGACAGTATCCTTCATTTGGCGCGAAAACATGCTCGGATATTTTTTGTCCGGGGACATTATCTGTTCCGAGAAGTGAACAGTTTTACGAGAGCGTTGCTCGAGGAAAACTGTGAACTTTGAGGAACGGATAATGTCCAAAGACAAATACGTAAGCTACCATTTGCGTCAAATGGAGGCTATTGTGTTTTATTATCCTTCAAATATTTTTCGCAGCACGCGCGGTTTGAAAATTGGAGAATATCACTCGGATGTTCCCCAGATTTAGCTGGGAAAAAAATCCGTCACTTCAAGTTGACGCGTTTAGACAAGTTGCGCGCGAGCGAAAATATTTGATGGATTTTAAACTGTGATCAAGTCACCGACCTTCTGGCTGGGTCTGTAGTCCGATTTATTAAATACCTAAACGTATTCATGAGGCAAATCAGGTACATTTGGTCTAACCACGGGTAGCATTTGCCTCGACTACTCGCTAAAATATGAACAATGGCTCGACTAGACTCTACAGACACGCCATCTATACATACTTAATGCAACATAGTAAATACAATATACTAAATAAATATACCTGATCATAGTAGAGCTATGACCTGATAGGCAAGTGCAGGCAGTGCCGTGTGCTGGGGTATGCCGGGGGGATGTTGAGTCGAACACGGTTAACACCCAGCCCCTGCTCCCGGCCCCGTCCCCGTCCCCGTGCCCGTCCCCGCCTCCGCCCCCCACTTTATGGCTCAAGACGTAAAACCTGGGTTTCTTTCGGTTCGATGGGGCCGCCACTTTGGTTTATTTTCACAAGCCTCCAAGGCATTTCCGGATTACATACATTATACTTTACGCCTCGTCACACCCAAGGGAGGTTCTACAGGACAAGATTGTGCTAATCTATGAATTGTCTCGCAACCTATATCCTATACCCTATACCCTATACTCTTTACTCTATACTCTTGAAGTGTTGTCATTGGGAGGCCATATTCACCGTCGGCAAATGCCTTGTTTTATAAACCTTTATACCTTGAAAGTTTTCGTTAATTTTATATTGCTGTAGAATTTGTTCTGTAATCCCACTTGGGATAAACAAATAAATGATGTTATCATTCGATGCAGTTTTTTTGCTTTTTATTGGCCAGGAGCCCACCACGTGACCTGCAAATAACTGCCCACAGTGTGTTTCGCTGTAAATAATATTCTGCTCATGCGCAATTGAAACCACGCTCTCGGTTGAAAAATGGCAGATCACTTCCCTGAGCTGTAAGAGTGCGATTTAAACATGAAATATTGAACTCGGTTATCGCAGAATATTGTGATCAATTATTTGATCAATTATTTGCCTCAGCCTTCGGCCTCGGCAGGTAATTACATTGGTGTGCTGGTCACTGACAAATCACGATATTTCGTCCAATAATAATGTTAAATTTTCCGGTGCTCCTATTGCGAAAACTAGGGGATAAGTTTCCACCATGTCTGCGCAGTGAAAAAATCCGACTATAGATACTTTCAGAAGCTTATTACTGGATTGATAAATTTCAGATACGCTACGAGACTACTGCATGATTGATCGTTGGGTACTCCATGAGGAGTTTGCTGTGATCTTGGAGGGAGTGGCATGTTCAGTTTTGAATCGCGACTGTAATTTTCTCGGAAAGCTATTCACGCTTTCCCTACTGATGCTGATGACGAGAGAGTAAAGTTGCAGTTGCTGGGTTGTTATCGAGAACAATCCAGTAACAGATCGGACTCGAAACAGGTCAAATGTATTGCAGTCAAGGCCCTCCAATCTTTACGGACAACTCTACTGTATAATACGCATACCTGTACATTACAAAGAGCTTACTTTGTCCAAGCTCAGAGAAACGAGAATTCTTGTCATCTCCACTTCCATAATACGGACACGAAGATCCGCCCCTTGATTATTCAATCTACCTTGGTACATTTAAGCAACATTTAAATAAAGTAAATCCTATGTTTTAAACCTAAATTAGATTTTAAAATCCAGTTAACATAGGTTCCTTATTATTTTTTCTCTTTTTTCTGAAATGCTTCCAAAGAGGGCAGCAAATAATTGGCTGTCCATGATACAAGAATGAAATCCTCTGTAAATCCAAGAGATGTTTTAAGTAACAGTTTGAGACCTTGTCGAGTTTTGAATTCCTCCGCTGTCTATGTCTGTAGCATCCTCTCCCGCTCCG